TCCGATGTAACGTCACTGGAATAAGTTAATCTCCATGATTATGAACATAGAGCGACTCATGAGTTCTATTTGATCGACTATTTTTGATAAAATAACATTTGGAATGTCGGCGAGCAATCGACAGTCGATAAGATGAAAAGGTTCGGTGTAGGCCCAAGAGACCAATCTGCTGCACATGTGATCCGACCGATTGTCATGACTGATGTATCTCGTGATCACAGGTTTCCCTTCATAGAGCAATGAATTGAGTGGTCCCTACAGACGTCGTCCTAACTAAATGTATTATGTTGGAATTAAAAACAGTGTCACTGCTTTTTTTAGTTGCATATCAAGCATAAAACACCTTTTTTGTACTTATTTATTCAATTAACGATACCATTATATTTAGCAATTATTCAAATTGTATTTTTCTTATTTTGGGTTGAGTTAATTAACAATTCACTTGTAAGATAAAAGAGGAGGTGGCATTTTGCCATGTTGTTTACGTTAGAGGTCTTATGATGGGAATTATGTAAAAAAAAACATGTAGAAAATTGAAAAGTTTTTTCATTCAAATGCGCCATTTAATCAACTGGTTGTCTCGTACGTAGCCAGTCGTGCAATAACTATTAAAGCCGTCCTCCAAATATTTAATATCACACTAAAGCATGGCAGATAAATGTTTCGTTCGAAACACTGCGAAATTCTGAAAAAAAGGTACAGTTGGCTCGTTCGCAAAGGCGTTTTCCCTACGCGTCATGAAATATCTTCGAACGAGTCTACGTACACTTGCTGGCGTAATCGGACTGTGCACAACGCGCACTGAAAGCCATGCAAGCTGTGCTATGATTGTTCAGATTGTAAGTACAATCTTGTAAGTAGCTTCGAATTTACTCGGCTAGTGTGAGTGCCTTGCAGAAATCTATTCATTAGTTATATGCTGCTCAACTACCACAGTCACACATAGTTACAGTCTAAGAGGCACAAATAAGCGACATATTTATGGTCGAGGGCAATAACCCGTACAGCAGTCTGCTAATGACATCACGCATGGTGAAGTCATCGAGTGGGCATGGTATTCGATTAAAACATATCGTGATTGAAATTGGATAGTTTGAGTGACTCAGTATGAACCAGTCTTTCTATAACGTCATAAAGAACAGGTGAAAGTCATAAAACATAATATATCCTGTTCACATGAAAAACAGGAAAGCAGAGAATACGATCGAATGATATTGTGAAATGTACAGGAAATATAATATTAAGTCTGGGGCTTTTCATTAATATAAATGTTGCCCAGGGCATTAATAATACACGATGAAATGAACTCGTCGCTACAGTTGATATTGTTCATTATAAGTTATATATGCAGGTTCCTTTGCTCTTTGCATTTTTATATCTCATTTCGGCTTCATTCTGTAAACAAGTTGGAGATCCAGCACAAAGTGGGCTTATTACAATTAATGTAAAAATGTAAAATACAAAGGCATGCATGCGTGTTTAACAGTTTCCCTATCTTACGTACTCTCATAATGCATTGTCATACCATATGTACACTGATATTTACATCTGCCAGGCTGTATTTTTGAATGTGTTGAACGTTTAAACATATCGAGAGTTTAAATTTTTTAATGGGCTTGCATCAAACCGTTAAGCGCTGATGTCTGTATACAAAAGATTCCAACACACTTAGGCAGGTATAACACTAACCACTTGTACGGACATGTGTTAAATAATTACCTAGCCTTTGCAGTGCACGATGTGAAGCACGCCTAATGTATAGTAGTTATTTAAGAGCATCTGGATAACTGACTGGATTCAGGGCTGTGACTGTAACCCACAATGTAGGCCACAGTACTCGTGTTTGACCCATGAGGTACAGTTGTTGTAACTTTGCGATGTCGGCCTCATACCAAATATATTATTGCGGCATCTGATACAATACCAGTCAGCTGCACGCATATATCAACGTTACTTGGGTATGTTGAACCTGCATACTCGATTCGTGTGGCGGTACATGCATTAATCCAGGTGAGAAGGTCAAAACCACCTCGTTTAAATCACATCGACACCATACAAACTCATCTGTACACTTCATTTCCCGACAATTCTAAACATATACGTGTAATACTATCAACGTAAATTAAGTAATATCAGACCTCATCATCCAAATAAATATAGAATATATGGGAGCGAGTTAATTATCATGTATATATTATTTCAAGTAACATAGACGTAATGACAAACAGTTTGCGTTGTTATTCGATCATTGCGAATATATATCATGCCGTGACCAACGTAACTAATTGTACCTTCTGTGACAGATCACAAAATTTAATCAATTTAATTACGTATGCGTGCCCGGTATTTTATTGTTGGTTTAACAGCGACAACATCAATAAACTAACTACAGTTTCAATTTAAGAATTGTAATTACTGCTGAGATAGCTTTAATAAATAATGTGTCGGGGGCTTTGAATATAGCTACCACAAACTCGTTGCCTGTGTTGCCATAATGGAAGATTTTCTCAAACATTTATGTTCTTGCCAGGTATTTCAGAAGTATTCAGTGGGAGAAATATATTTTGGAAGAGACGTATGAAATACGCCAGGGTAACTTCAAAGTTCTGCGAATCAACGGAATTATGGAAATATTTATGCTCGATGTTTCGTTTTAAATATTCACAAAAAGCACAATGGTTCATTACGCTTTCGTGTTATCAGCATGTTACTAATTATTTAGAATTCGCAATAAAAAATGATTTACATTAAACTAAATACTACAACATACTGAATTTAACTTATTATTGCATAGACATAGACATAGTGCCAGTTCCCGTCCCGTCTCGTTAGTTGAAACTTATACGAGTATGTTATTTTAAACGTTTCAATTAAGGTATAACTATAAACAACATCATTGTTGGCAACGCAAATGTGACAGATAAATGGTACATGTAGCGTCAAATAAAACAAATTGTCCACAGCTGTGATACTATAGTAACGTCATCTAAGATAAAATCACTGTCTCACAACCAAAGCAACTTACCAGTGCGAAACAATTAAGTCAAGCTTTTACGAACTTATATAATACATATAATGCAATCAACGGACATATTCAGGTTTATCTAGCATTACATTGTGTGTTTGTACTAACAATTGATGATTAAATACATAATATATATGCCCATTTAATTTAAAACTAGTCAAATAGAAGTTTGATATACGCTTTCACTCATGATGTTTGTTTCCATGACAACTTTTGAAACAACGACCTAGAATTCAGAAATTAACCGAGAACCAAACGTTATTACGTATAGCAATGATAACATGTACAAATAATCACAGCGACGACTCACCGTCAACTTGTTACTCATGTCACGTCGCTGGAATACGCTACCTCTTCGGAGAAATCGGAAACAGTGGTCTTTATCACACAAGTGTGAACACGGCTAGGCATAGTAATACTCTCATCTGCTTATTCATTCGGCCGACTTCATGTCTGCCGACAATAAAAACCAACTGCCCCCCACCCCAGAAATTGGAGCACAACTTTTTAAATGGGCTGCTCAGCAATGTCTGGAAGATCAGGTATTGAATATTTGTCGACATCAAAACGAATATAAAGTTCACAGCATCGCTTCTCTTCTCAAAAGATGAACGTCCACGTCCTATCTTGTCCAGAAACGTGAACATGAGGGTGATAAACATGCGTAGACTGCTGTAAGTGTCACATGATAACCAGCGCATTTATTAGTGTCATTAATGTCATAGGTTATGATACAGCTGGTATTGTACTCACAGACCACTTAGGCTATTTTACCCATGTCAACAATTTGATCTGAATTATACTTATTAGTACAAAGCGAAATTGATTCAAACTTACTAACACACCATATACATATTTTTTTAAAATACTACTTGAAAACTTTTGATTCAATGATGTTGTACTTTCTGAATGTAGTGGTATCTTTATGTAAGTACTGTCGATGATTCCAACCTAGTCAAAGTTAGTAACAACACTTACAATTAAATTACACAGAATCGATCATTATTTAGAGTCATTAGTATTGACTGCGATTGCATACTAATTAGCGTTCTTTAACAAATGGGGTTCCAATTGAATGATTTCACGAATAAAATACAGATTTTTTTTATCGCGGACATCGCCACGTATATATCCTGGGTGGTGTTAATTCTGTTAGCGTTTCGCAATGATAGCTATGTTACTATAGACGTCATACGGGGCACATAGTTTCGTGTATGTCGTAGTAATAGCCTCAGTCGTCTATTACTGGGAACAGTTGCACTGGTTTCAATTAGCGGAGGTCGCTACTGTTACACCAATGACGTATGTAGGGACCAC